GGTTGCCTCCTGCACATACCCTGACCAGGGCCTGGGCCAGGGAGGAGCCTGCAACTTAGGTACATGCCCTTGACCGGAATCGAACCTGGGACCCTTTGGTCTGCACACCGACACTCTATCCAGTGAGCCACACCAACTAGGGCCACTTGCCTTCTCTTGCTGTCAGTTCCCTCATTTGTGAAACCAGGGTTGATCTGTGAAGTTTCTTTTAGCTCTGGGTTTGGGCTGCTCTTGATAGGCAGCCTTTTTCATGTCATTGCTATTAATGTCCACAGTGAATTATTTCCCCCCTGTAAGGACTGCCTAATTGATGGCTCACCCCCAGTATATAAAGTGAGAAACACAAGAGAAAATAAATGCTTTGGCCAAGCTTCCATGCCTAGCATGTATGCATGTGTAGGGGTAGGGGGTGTTGCTCACTCCTCATCCCAGGCCCCTGGCTTTGACTAGATTTTTCCATCCCAGAGCTGTTTAGCAGCTCTTCCCAAACATAGGACTGTCAACCCTTAATTATATGCATGCCCACTCTCCTCTGTGAATGACACAGGGCAAAGGTATGACATTCCAGCTGGGATGCCTCTTGTCCCTCTGAACACTCCCATTCACTGCCATGTTCAGTACAGTCTGTTCAAGTATTGTCTTCTGAGAAGGAGATGAAAGACACAAGACACTAGACCTTGCCCTCATGGAACTTCTAGTCTACCTGAAGTGGGGACATAAATGTGTGGGGAAAAATGTGCTACCATATGTAAGGGAGAACCTGGGAGTCAAGTGCTGCTTTGATACATCTCCAATACCTAGAACAGTACCTGACACATAGAAGATGCTCTATAAATACATAAAAATAGGTGCTAATTGCCATGGCTTTCAAACATTTTAGTTTAATGAAGGGAAAGCCTTTCTTCAGTGAAACAGGTGGATATAAGGTTGCCCTGGTAAGAGGAGCTAGGGTCAAACCCTGCTTGCTCAGGTCTCCTCTGGGCACCAGAGATGATCCTCAGCCCAGTCACTTATTGCAGTCAATTAGAAAGGAGTTGAAGATCAACTTGCTGTTTTTCCTGGTTAACCTTAGGAAAATAAATGGAGGTTTGAAGAACCAGGCCCTCCAAAAGGAATATTTGCCACCTGATAAGGCGTCGTCAATCTCTCCTTTCCCCTCCTTCTAGGGCAGCGGTTCTCAACCTGTGGGTCGCAACCCCTTTGGGGGTCGAATGACCCTTTCACAGGGGTTGCCTAAGACCATCGGAAAACACATATATAATTACATGTTGTTTTTGTGATTAATCACTATGCTTTAATTATGTTCAATTTGTAACAATGAAAATACATCCTGCATATCAGATATTTACATTGTGATTCATAACAGTAGCAACATTACAGTTATGAAGTAGCAACAAAAATAATTTTATGGTTGGGGGTCACCACAACATGAGGAACTGTATTAAAGGGTCGTGGCATTAGGAAAGTTGAGAACCACTGTTCTAGGGTGTTCCAATTAGTAAGGGCAGAGGGGAGAAAGTTTTCACTGGGAGACTTGTAAGTTAGTCTACAAATGTATATCAATGTAATGTTTGTTTATTTTAAATAAAGAAGGAAAGAAAACCACAGTGGTAATGTTTTCCAGTATTCAATAGAAAGTCATTCCATGTTGTCTTCCAAGCAGTCCTGATTTGAAAATACAATGTAAAACTCTCATGAAATCTGTTTAGTTAGTAGATGGTGCTTCCTTTTGCACAGCTCACCCTATATCACACTGGTATCTACTAACATTCCTAACCAAATTCATGGTCAGCCTTAGGCACATGAAGCTGCTGGAGGGGCTACCTGATGAGAGAATCTCTACACATGCTTGCAGGACTGAGACCCACTTCCCAACTTGGCCTTCTTCTTGCCTTTCCACCCCTCATCAGCAAGGGAGGGAAAACATACTTGTTTCCCAAGGATGCGTACTTGTCAAGATGATCCAGGGAGGAAGGTACATCCCAGATGTGCACCTGGAAGACAATTTTAGGTACCCAACATCTCTTTTTAAAAATCTGTTAAATGGGTAAAGCTCTTGAATTAAGAGATTTTCATCATTATCCATCTCATGGCCCTTTCATAAAAATCTCTTTACCTGTACCACAGACTGTCCCTCCATGCAGATGCCAGAAGAGGCAGACATTAGACCGAATGTTTTCCTCCCAAATTCATACGTTTAAAGCTAGCCCCTAGTGTGATAATATTTGGAGATGGGACTTTTGGGAGGTGATTATGTTATGAGGGCTCCCTCACAAATGACATCTGTGTCCTTATAAAAGAGACCTCAGAGAGATCACTTGCCCCTTTCTGCCATGTGAGGTTATATAAAAAAAGAGGCGTTTATGAACCAGGAAACAGGTTCAGACCAGACACTGAATCTGCAAGAGCCATGATCTTGGACTCCCAGCCTCTAGAAATAAATTTCTGTTTTTCACAATCCATCCAGTCTATGGTATTTTGTTATAGCAGCCTGAATGGACTAAGACACCTCACTCAACAGCAGGGGAAACTGAAGGGTAAAGGGAGCTCACTTTAGACAGTAAGTCACCAGGAGCCCCAGCTTCTCCACTACTGCCTGACATAGCCATCTCTTCCACTTCTTGGCAAATCCTAAGACTTCCCTCCCTTCAAAATCTATCTCAGGCCTGACAGCCATCTATCCAACACTACTGCAGACTTCACCCCCTGTCCAAGCCCTGACCACAACATGTAGCCTAGTCTTTTGCACTTAAGTAGCTGAGTTTGAATCATTAAATCTGGTCTTAAGATAGAAGTCACTCAAGGTTAGGGCTAGAGGGAACCTTGGAAATTAGGAGAAACTGAGGCTTTCCTAGGGTTCCAAGGTTATGAAAAAAATATGGCTGCAACCCAAGTTTTCCTATGTGTGCCTATGCCTTCCTGGCTACATCCTGAGTTCCTCTATTTTCTTGGTCTCTTTCCCCTTGGCTGCACAGGACCTGCTCTGTGACCATGGTGTTGACTCAAGGAGGGATTAACGAACAACAAAGAGCCCAGATAGAGGCTGTGGTCCCCAGCTCTGAAACATGACTTGATCCCAACTAAGGCCTTCGCTGGTGTTGGTTTGGAAGCCCAAATGATTGCTCCCAGAAATTAGGTCACTTGCTCAAGGTGACTTGGCTAAGAAGTGACCGCAGCAGGAGCCAAGTGTAGGTCCTCAGGCCCCAGGGGCAGCGCTATGCCCTGGGCACTGCTTCAGGCACTGTCTAGAGCCCGCAGATCTGGAGGCCCAGATCCTGCCCCCCTCCTCTGCTCAGCGTGACGTTGGTGGAAGTGTGTTATTCCTTTAGGTCTCTAAGCATTGCCCACATATTTGTGCCCGTGGCTCCCGTCTGAAGTGTGGGGGTTGGAAGGAGTCAGTGTGGGCGGTTTACACTGACCTCCTGTGCGTAATCCTAATCCGGGCACCGTTGAGGGTCCCTAGCCACTATAAACCAACCCTACCGTCTCACGCACAAGCCCCCACTGTGACGCGAGGATGTCTGAACTCAGGATTCTGGAGTGGTGAAACCCGAGGCAGCTTGGCTGGCCGCTGGAGTACGTCAGGATTAGAAGACTTTCTCTGGAGTAGTGCTCTCGGGTCCTTCTCCGCCCGCCGTGCTCCCCAGAGTACCCACCGACCCCCGCGGGCGGAGTCCTCGTGGCCACGCCCATCCGGCGCGTGGCCCCCGGCCGTCCAAGTACTTCTCCAGATTCCGGCGTTGGGGGAGGAAGAGATGAAGAGCCTGCGCACGCGAGGCGCCAATCCCCCCCGGCTCGAGCTGGTGAGCACATCTTGACGCTTCCCCCACAGCTCAGTTGAGCCACAGAACTTTTACACCACCCGCGTTCCCTGACGCTTCTAGAACTGGATACCAAACACCCTCAGATACCCGTATTCACTACTTTTGTAGGACTTTCCGGAGAAGGCGGGCAGGGGGCCGGAACCGGGGTGAGGGTCTTCCCCGAGACCCCCTCTAACCCGTTTCTCTTTGCAGACAGCAGTGGTCAACCCTAGAAGGACGAGACTGGGCGTCCCAAAAGACCTAGCGGACTATGCCCCTCGAGGTACCGGCCTTCCCTGGGGGTTAGGGAGTGTGAGGAGAGAGCCGCGGCGGGTTGAGGAGGGTGGGGAGAGGGCCGCTAGGGAACGGATAGGTTTGCTGACAGGTTTGAGGATGGGATAGGGTAGTTGGGAGTGAAGAGCCCGAAAGCAAACACTGTTTCTTTTTCCTCTCCCCCTCGTCCGAAAAGGAACCACATTGCCAGGGGGAAATAAGACAGTGTAAACACAAACAACCTCAAAAAGAAGCCAAGAAAAACTAAGCCAAAAAAACCCAAGTGCAACACTGTTACAAAACTGTCTGGTTTTGTAACAATTTCCCTGCCGCGGGCCAATGAGCAGCGTGGCGGCGCGTCACGTGGTGACGTTTTATATAACGCTTTGCTGAGACAAGACAGTTATTAGGCGGCGCGAGGCGGCCGGCATGGAGCTCTCTGAGGAGCGGCAGGGACCGGTGTGCCGCCTGGCGACCGCAGTGGCAGCCCCAATTACCTCAAGCCGCCGCTCGCTGCTCTGGGTCCCCGGCCCCTAGACGCCTCTTCCTGAGTTTGTTCTTCCTTTAATGGATTCATTTCAGGCTGAACAGATGCCGAGCTTGCCCGCTGAGCTCGCGAGCAACAACTTAGAGCTGGCGGAGCCGGCGGCATCAGTGACCCCTGTAGATTCGGCCCATCCGGAGGCGGCTACAGAAGGTCTCGCACCTCTACCGACGCGGGAGCCGGAGCAGCCTCCTCCGGCCTCGACGACAGAGTGTAAAGTCCTGCTCACACAGGCAGACGCCCTGGCGTCCGGGGGGCGCCTCCGGGAAGCCCTCGAGGTATACCGCCAGCTGTCGGAGCGGCAGCAGCTGGTGGCAGAGCAGCTGAAGCAGCTGGTTCGCTGCCTGGCTGAGAACATCCCGACAGGAGAGGCGCTGGCGCCAGTGCCCACGGTCGGGGGCAGCGCAGCGAGCTGTGTGGTGGGGGCGGAAGAGGCAGGGGTGGCCACCGCCGCCGAGGCCACCGAGTTATGGGATGGCTTCAAGTGCCGGAAGTGTCATGGGTTTCTGTGGTGGTGCTCAGCGGTCTCCTGGGCAAGTTGTTCCCTGCTCGAGCTCGGGCGTCGCAACTCCGGCACGAGGGCAACCGGCTGTACCGCGAGCGCCAGGTGGAGGCGGCACTACTCAAGTACAACGAAGCAGTTAAATTAGGTGAGCCCACCGGGATCTCCTGGCAGGGAGCCCGCCGGGAGGTGGGGGATTGACCTGGACCGGAGTGGGGGAGGGGTTTCCGGAGTTCACTCTTGGACTTTTCCTCTGCCCCTGCCAATTTCTCTTTCTTTCTCTGTGTCTCTGCCTCTCTGTCTCTTTGTCTTTTTCTGTGTCTCCTGTTAGCTTGTGTTTCTGGCATCTCCGTTTCTGTTTGGGGCACACTGTCTCTGTCTCTCCTTTTGTCTGACTTTCGCACCTTTGTCACTCCGTTTGTTGCTCAGTGTCACCGACTCAGTTTCTCCTTCTCTCCGTCTCCCTCTGTCTCCGCACGCCTGGGCTCCCGCTTACACCTGCCCGCACCTTCCCCGCCAGGAGGGGAACTTCGCGCCCTTCCCACCCTCGCACAGGCTCCGCTGGGTCTCCGCCAGCCCCAGGTGCTC